GCTCGGACCTCTCGGCGTACACTTTCGGCGATGCTCAAGAAAACTTAAAGTTTTCGGCCAGAGTCTCGATTATTCTTAACGTTTCAATGTAAATCTTGGGATTTTAATAGAAGTTCTGGGCTTTATTCAAGTTCTGAGACTATGAATTTCTTAACCCATGATTTCTTAAGCATTTCGCAGGGTGTAGTGCCCGCGCCAGTGGAAGTGGTACTGTCGAGGTGGATGAGTAGGTCGACCCTGCCACATCCAGGGAACCCTCGTGTCCTGTGTTTCGCGACCTATGCTTGTCAGAGCCCCGAATCATCAGGGGTAGCTCGGGTCAGGGCTAACTCGGGTTCGTTTTTCGGGATTCCGAACCCGACTTACCCCGGACCCGACTTACCCCCGATAGTTCGGGCGTCCAGAGCCCCGAATCATCAGGGGTAGCTCGGGTCAGGGCTAACTCGGGTTGGTTTTTCGGGATTCCGAACCCGACTTACCCCGGACCCGAGTTTCCCCGGATAGTTCGGGCGCCCAAGCTTGGATGTTCCCTCCAAGCCTACTGGGGGCGTCTGGGGTCGGTGGGGTTCTGATGGGCGAAAGCCAGATCCCAAAGGAGGCCCCCCTGTTCGAATCGCGGAGGGCCTGAGATTTCTGAGTTGAGGTGTTGATCGACGACCGCGGGCCGTTTCAAACCATCGCAGTTCGTCAACCGTCCGCCTCCTCTAGCCATGGGCCGACGCTGTCGGACGCGGACCTGACGCCATCTGGCGATCAAAGTCATCTGACTCTGATCGGAACGGCAAGAGGACGAGGTCATCCGACATGGTGCCAAGGGAGCCGAATGATAAAGCGTGTCATTGATGAGTGCTGTTTGGAACTTGGACACCCTGCAAACCAGCTGCCGGGTGGCGCGCGCGACCGACATCCAAGAGCCTCCCGAAAAAAGATCAGTGGCCGATCTGGGCTCTGATTGTCGACGGCGCCAGCGACTGCGGGCGACAGCACCTTTGTTTCCCGTCACTGGGGTCAGCCTCGGCAGGGCCTTTCAAATTTCTCGCTTGGCCACTTCGCACGAGCTGGGCCAGGGGATCCTGGCGAAGGGCCCTCCATTGGACTGCCGACGACGTGGCGGAGCTTCCGAACATGGTCATGATGCAGGGTCCCGGCGTGAAGGGCCCTGGTGCACGCGCCCGTCGCAACCCCCTCAACGGGGGCGGTGTTTGCGCAACCGCTGGCCTCCGCATCTGCCGAACCCAACTCGAGGCGCGCCCGCGCGCTCGTGCGGCGCGCTTCACCGCGCGCGCGCCCCCTCCCGCCCGACGGGCGCGGCGCGCGCGCCCCCCTTCCGAAAGCGCAAGAAGCGCGTTGACGCTGCGCGCCGCCCCATTCTGTCCAACGCGCGCCCCTCGGCGAACGACGCCGCCGCGGGGCGCTGCTAAGCCAGAGCGCGCGCGGGGCACCTCGGCTCCCCAGGCAGCCGAGGGAACGCTTCACCTCCTGGTGCCCGGCAGCAGCGGGCAATCGCGCCCCACGAGTTGCAAGCGGCAGCCGTGCGGCCCCGCGCGAGAAAGGCCCCCGCGCGGCGCGGCGCGCCTGGGCGGCCGCGGCGGCACCGCCCGCGCCCCGCACCGGCGCCCATGAGAACCCCACGCGCATTTTCCCACGCGGGCGGTCGGCCCATCAGGACCCCATCCCCGAACGGTCGAGCGCCCGCGCGGGCCATCGCAACCCCATAGCTCGTCCATCAAATTCCATCAACATCGATCAACTACGATCAGAATTAAGCAAATCGATCAAAAACGATTAGGATTGATCAGAACTTACCCAGGCAGAAGTGTGAGACTTCCATTAGAAAAAAAAACAATCAAAATCGATCGAAATCTATCAAAATCGATCAAAGTCAATCAAAAATAATCAAAATCGACCACCCAGCCAGTCTGGCCCAGGACTGCCCGACCAATGCGCCACCCCTGAGTGCGCCACCACTTCCCGCAACCACCAAGCCGAGGTGCGGCGAGGCTTGCAATCCCGCCGAGCTTCTCCCCACCGCGCGCGGCGCGGCCAGAATCGCGCGCCTCCCTCCGCCCCGCGCTCCCCGCGCGCCGGCCCCCGCTCCGCGGCACGCGCGTCCCGCTGGCGCCCGCCGCGACCCGCCACCACCTCGACTAGCATTCGTCTACAGCTGCCGCGCGTTCCCCCGCATCCACTGCGCCAAGCGACATGGCGTGCCGCGCCAGTCCGCCGCCCGACCGACCTCTCGACCCTGCGCCCGCTCGCGAGACGGCATTCTGACATCGGATCAGCCCACGCCCGCTCCGTCACGCTGCCCACCGATCCGCCCTCGAGCGCGCCGCGCCCGCCCTCGTCAGGGGTCAGGCCAGTCGCAGGGCTCCTCGAAGTTCGTGTTGGGCCGGCCGCGGCCCTCGCATCGGTCAGCGCCTCTGCGGAACGGGCGGGCAGCACCGCCGCGGATGCGCCGCGTCCATTGAGCTGCCCCATGGGCAAGCCACCTCAGATCGCCTGGCATCGCTCGGACGTGTGCGCTTTTTCTTCGGCGAGGGCCATCGAGGAGCATCCTTGAGCATTCGGCGAAAAAAAAACACGCACGAAACCGAAAAAAAATACAGGGAATGGACGTCCGAGCGATGGCGAGATCGCCGCCGATCGCGCGGCGGGCGCGCACGCCTGGGCGAAGTCGATGTCGCGTTCGGCTGCGATGGGCCGCCGAGCAGCCCCGCCGCGGATGCGCCGCGCGTCCACCGAGCTGCCCCACGGGCAGGCCGCCTCAGATCGCCGCAGATCGCGCGGCGGGCGCGCACGCCTGGGCGGCGTCGATGTCGCGTGCGGCTGCGACGGGCCGCCGAGCGGCCCCGCCGCCAGGAGGCTGCCTCGCGCGCGGCCTCCCCGGGAGACGGCAGCCGCGCACGGCGCCCGGCGGGCGCTGGCTCGCGGGGCATCGCTGGGGCAGGGAGGGCGAGGGGGGCGAGGGCGAGGGCGAGGGGGAGGGGGAGAGGTGGGCGATGGGGGGATGTACAACCGAAACTCAGAGCGTTAATTACCTACCCCGCTTTCGCTTCCAGGCAAAACCAAGCCATACCATGCGCCTCCTCGTCAAGCGGCCTGACCAGTACAGGCTGCAATTTGGCATCGTTTGGTATCTCTTGGAAGCGAGGGTGGTCAAAAGCGAGGTAGGTTTGTTTCCCCCCTAGAAACGGGGGGAGCAGGAAGAGTATGGGGGAAAAGACGGATGTGGCTTGCACGAGCTGCCATCGTCGGTCCGATCGCTCCGGTGCGCAGGAGAGCACTGATCACATTCTCGTGCGATGCGGTTCAGGCTCAGAGCGGTCATCGGGCATTTCTCGATTCCCGACGCCCGATTTCAAGGGCCATCAAAACCCATCAACGATTTGTCGTCACGTATCGGCGGGAAAGAAACAGCTCATCAAGGAATATTCGTTCTCCTTGGGCGCGAAATTCAAGGCATCAAAAACCCATGGCAATTTTCCCATCAGAACCTCATCAACCCCAGACCCCATCAGTAGGCCCGGATGGAACATCCAAACCTATGCCTTCCACATGTCAATGCTTGGGCCTCCTAGATGGGGTCCGAGCAGATGGGGTCGGAGGATCGCGCCGCATCGCCGATGCATCGCCGATGCGGCTCGATGTGGGGCCCGATTTGCTTCACGTCGACGTCGCCGATGCATCGCCGACGTCGGCGATGCACCGCCAGTGCATCACCGATGCATCGCCGATGCATCGCCGAAGTATCGGCGATGCGGCGCGATCCTCCGACCCCATCCACTCCGACCCCATCTTGGAGGCCTCTGCTGTGGCAATGTTTGACTTTCGGAAGGGTCTTGTGTCCTCTCGCGCGTCCTCTCCAATCAACCCCGACGGAAGCACTCGTGGCGCCACTGGCAGCGCGCCGCACTGGCACGGGATCATACGGAGAGCTCCGGGGCCTGGACCTCGCGGCTCGCGCTCGCGCGCCGCAGTCAGCTGCTGATCCAGCAGTCCACCGCCGTCCGGGGCTGGTGGTCGGCCTTCGAAAGCCCAGGGTTCGCTAGGGACGGGATTCCCCCCCCAAAACACGAAAACCCCCCCGAAACCCTCCGAAAATAACGCCCGGAACCCTTCCCGGAGGGCTTGCGGAGGAAACCAGCCTCTGGCGAACCCTGGACGTTAGAAGGTATAGCCTGGCTAGCCTCCCTTCGGAGGCCCGCCGCCTTCCCGAAGACCTCCTCGGCTGCACCAGGCGGCGCGGAGCCCACCGGCTCCTGGGCCACGGCAGGCGCGGAGCGCGGCCTGGAGCTGCCGAGGCGACGGCCCCGCGTCGGCCCGGGGCGCGGGGCGCCGCAGTGCGCCGCGACCGCGGGCCGGGGGGCGACCTCGCCCCGAGGGCGGGCTCCTGCGCCCGATCCCCTCCACGGCGCCTGGCGGCAGATCCCACGGAGGGACGGCGGACGAGAGGCGGCCGTTGCGTTCCGCGTTCGAAGTTCCAACCGACCAGCCGACCATCAGCGGACGAGTTGAAGCTTTGCCGCAGCGCTTGCGTGGCTCGCCCCGCATTCGCAAGCGCCGTCGAAGAGGGGGGGCATCAGCTCCTATCGCGGCTCTGCCGCGAGAACGCCCCGCTGAAGCTCGGGAGCTCGGGGCCCCGTTCCAGCCAAAACGATGATGGAGAAGAAGCAGGAGAAGTTCAGAAGGCGAAGTGAGGAACAGGAGGAGGAGCAGCAGCAGCAGGATAGGGAGGAGGAGGTCGGCCGTAGGAGGGAGGGATGGAGGGAGAGAGCGAGGCAGGAGGGAGGATGTGCAAAGTTGGATGGGATATGAGAGGAAGTGAGGAGGAGGAAGAGAAATGAAGGAGGGAGGAAGTGAGAGGAGGAAGGGTATGCCGCCGCTTCAGAAACCCTTGAACCCCAAGAGAACTGCGAAGGCGCTCCTCGAACCCACATCTGACCTTCTCCCCCGCCCTCGAGGAGGAGCGGGAGAGGGGGAACATCCCCCCTTTCGAGGCCTCGACGTGCTGGCGTGCCAGCAGCGCAAGACCGTGTGGGACAAGTACTGCGAGTCGCAGGACGCGCTCATGCTGTTCGTCCCGAAGCAGTGAGCACTCGGCCCCAAACCACTCTCTTTGCATGCGAACAGGCCATATCCGGGCCCGCGCGCGGGCCCCTTCCACTGACTGTCCTGTTCTGACGGATGGATCCGTGACCCTCGCCATCATCCTCATCACTGCGAGGGGGGGGGGGGGGGAGGAGGGGGAGGAGGGAGGAGGAGGTGGGGGAGGAGGGAGGAGGGAGGAGGGGGGGAGGAGGGAGGAGGGGGAGGAGGGAGGAGGGGGAGCATGCAGAGGTGGGGGAGGAGGGGAGGAGGGGGGGAGGCGAAGGGAGCAGCGCTGCACACGAGTGCCGCCGCAGCTGCCGGGCGGCGTCGCCGCCAGAATCCCGCAGCCCCCAGGACCCAGCAGACCGCGAGGGGGCGATCGGCGGCGAGCTTGGGGGCCCTCGCGGCGCCTTCTGTGAAGTCTTCTGGGCCGTCTCCGAGGGCAGAACACTTCTATCGGAGGGCCCGAGAGTTTCGGAGAAGCCCCGCCGCCTTCTGAGAAGGCCTGCCCCCTCCCACTTGCCCCCCAGACTCGCCGCCAAGACGAGGAAGCACGGCATGTTCTCGCCGCCTCGGCACCGCGGCGACGCCAAGCGCGGGCGTTCAAGGGCGAAAAGAGTTTCTGGTGGTTCGCGTTGGGCCTCGGCGCGGAGTCCATACACAAAAGATGGCGTCGGCGGCTTCCGAGGAGTTGCGAGAGGGGAGTGCCTTCAAGGTTGACCCGCTTACGCGGTGTCATTATCCCAGGGCCCACGGCGTCGAGGCGGGAAGTTGTCGTTGCTGGGGAGGGTAAAGTGCGATTGGTGAGGGAAGGAGGGGTCACGTGTCTATCATCTCTTTTTAAGTTTGTTGGGGAGGCCCCGTCGTCACGGTTGGGTTCGCCTCGACGTCTTTGTCGGAGCGTGTTCCAGGAGAGTATGGGGCCGATTTAGAGCAAGGGAGGAGGAGCACGACGATGACGAGGATGGGGCCGAGGAGGATGAGGCGGAAGCGGAGTAGGAAGACGAGGAATGTTCGCATCTGGCAGTCTCCAAGAGGGAAAGGAAGGAGGAGGGAGGCAGGATGGGGGGAGGGAGGGAGGAAGCATGGAATCGGAAGCAGAGTATGGAAATGGAGGACCACCCCGGCGTGGGTCGCCACAAGGGGGGAGCGTCCCGTTCGAAGAGGGGTGCGGGCCAGACCATTGCTGTCACGATACGCGTCTGGGGATCCGTCCTTTAGCCCCTGCTCCTTCTCATCTCCCTAGCTCAGCCCACAATCGTCTTCATTCCCCGTGAGTCCGCTTTCTTTCTCTTATTACGAGTAGTATGGAAATTGCTAGCATCAGCATTCGCAGGGTTACTAGTGTTGTTGTTAGTATTAGTGGTGTTATCCGTATTGGTATTACATGACCGTAGCCTTATTAGTTGCAGTACTATTGGTAGTAGTAGTAACAGTAGTAGTAGTCGTCGTCGTGGTCGTAGTCGTTGTCGTAGTCGTAGTCGTAGTCGTAGTAGTAGTAGTAGTAGTAGTAGTAGTAGTAGCCGTAGTCGTAGTCGTAGTCGTAGTCGTAGTCGTAGTCGTAGTCGTATTCTTAGTAGTAGTCGTAGTAGTAGTAGTAGTGGTACTAGTACTAGTAGTAGTAGTAGTAGTAGTAGTAGTAGTAGTAGTAGTAGTCGTAGTCGTAGGACTAGTAGAAGAAGTAGTAGTAGTAGTAGTCGTCGTCGTCGTAATCGTAGTCGTAGTAGTAGTAGTAGTAGTAGTAGTCGTCGTAGTCGTAGTCGTAGTCGTAGTAGTAGTAGTAGTAGTAGTAGTAGTAGTAGTAGTAGTAGTAGTAGTAGCATCGTAGTAGTAGTAGTAGTCGCAGTAGTAGTAGTAGTAGTAGTAGTAGTAGTAGTAGTAGTCGTCAAAATAGTAATAGTAGTAGTCGTAGTAGTAGTAGTAGCAGTAGCAGTAGTAGTAGTAGTAGTAGTAGTAGTAGTAGCAGTAGTAGTAGTAGTAGTAGTAGTCGTAGTCGTAGTAGTCGTAGTAGTCGTAGTAGTAGCTACCACTACTAGTAGTAGTAGTATCGTAGTCGTAGTAGTCCCGTAGTAAGTTCGTAGTAGTCTTCGTCGTAGCTTACCACTACTACCACATCCACCACCCCCACCACCACCACTACTACTACTTTTCACTACGACTACTAAACTAATTACTATTTTGACTACTACTACTACTACTACTACTATACCTACTACTCCCTACCTACTACTACTACTACTAACTACTAGACTATTTTTTCTACTAAACTACGCCACGTACCTGCGACTACTACTAATTACTAACACGATGCTACTCTACTACTACTAACTCTATACTACTACTATAACTACTAATTCCTTCTACTACTACTACTACTACTACTACTACGACTACGATTACGATTACGACTACTACTACTACTACTTATACGACGTACGACTACTACTACTCCTACTACTACTACTACTACTACTACTACTACTACTAGTACTACGACTACTACTACTACTTTTACTACTACTACTACCACTACTACTATTAGTAGTCGTAGTGGCGGTGGTGGTAGGTAGTAGTAGTAGTAACATAGTAGTAGGAGC